GATAATGACAATGGCAATGATAATGACGATGACAATGATAGTGATAAAGACAATGATAATGATAATAACATTAACATTGGCAATGATAGTGACGATGACAATGATAGTGATAATGACAATGGCTATGATAATGACGATGACAATGATAGTGATAATGACAATGGCAATGATAATGACGATGACAATGATAGTGATAATGACAATGGCAATGATAATGACGATGACAATGATAGTGATAAAGACAATGATAATGATAATAACATTAACATTGGCAATGATAGTGACGATGACAATGATAGTGATAATGACAATGGCTATGATAATGACGATGACAATGATAGTGATAATGACAATGGCAATGATAATGACGATGACAATGATAATAATAATACCAATGGCAATGGCAATGACAATGATACTGACAATGATGATGACAATGATAATGATAATGACAATGATAATAACAATGACAGCGAAAATGGTAATGATAATGACAATGGCAACGAAAATGACAATTACAATTATCAAGACAATGACAATAACAATGGCAATGGCAATCTTTATTCATCTCGCAGGGAGAAAGGACTTCGTCGTTTACTATGGCAGTGGTGTTACAAACTTAATACTGTATTATGTTCTCACACACGTATTTTTTCCATATCATAATGACACTGTCCAAGGGGCTATCTGTCTAATACGACTACATTTCTCCTCCACAGTGGATGTTCGTATTGGTCAGGGTCGATTGTATACTGCTCCTTCTGTTGTCAAATAAGAAGTGGAAATGGGTACCCGGCCATAGAAAGCGAAAGATCTTGTCAGTATGTTAGTGTTTTAGCACCTATAAATGGCTACTTGCACTGTATGCTTCCCAGGAAGTTGAGTTTGTTTCAGAATGCTCTCAGGTCTGCTGGGGTAGTACATGTAGTATAGATTGTGAAGCGCTTAGAGCTTGCTGTTGAGCGGGGATTTGCGCTATACAAAGGCTATCTATTATTATAAATAATCACCAAAAGCGACAGTGGTCACTGACATACTAAGAGCAGTTGGCGAGTGCTGTGGTGTGGTTTGCTCCTTTTCCCCTATCAAACATTTATCGCCCTTATCTCTCCTCCTTCTTTTCTTTTGTATGTAGCTTTAGTAACACCTCTAATAACTTGCACTCATCATCATCATCATCCGGTGCCTTGCCGACTAACGTGGGCGATCATGGACCTCCACTTCACTCTGTTTCGCAGCAATGGTTTCTGTTGTTCTTGCTGCTCCTAGCCATGTTGTCATCGTGCCCAGTATCTTTTCCCTCTGTCTGCTGCTACCTCTCTTTTCATCAAACTTGCCTGTTGTTACAATATTCTCCAATGCTTCTTTCCGCATTGTGTGTCCCGAAGAAATTTGCCTGTCGCTTTCTTATATTCGTCATAAGCTGTCTTCTATAATTTGCTTCAACCAAGACTTCCTCATTTGTTTTTCTAGCTCTCCATGGGATACGTAGCTTGCGTCTTATGAACCACAACTGTGTCGCCACAATTGTTCTTTCCAGCTGTTTATTGATTGTCCATGCTTCGCACCCGTATAATAGGATTGGCGTGTTGTAACTTTTCAGTACTCTTTTTCTCGTTTCCAGGGACAGATTGATGTTTGTTAGTATCTGTTTCATTTTTGTAGAAGGTTGCTTTTGTTTGGCAAATGCGGCTTTTAATTTCGGTGTGACATCTCCAATCTGATGATATAATGGTCCCCAAATATTTAAAAATGTTGTACTTGCTTGAGGGTGGTATTACTGAGTTTGATATTGCATGTTGGGGTTGGAGTTTTTCTGCTTATCACTATTGTTTCGGTTTTAACTTGCACTATCGTGGCCTATTTGTGTTAAAAGGGCTGTAAAACTCTCACCCAAAAAAACTTTAAAACTAGCATTATACTTGTCAGGGCGCTCATATGAACTTATGTAGTTGCAAGTGCCGTAAAAGCTTACCAAAACAAATACTATTATAGTACCTGTCTGGAGACATAGCGGCTGACTGGAGCCCAGCAAACTCGTCAGGTGACCAGGAGAGCTCCTCGTCCGCCCAGACCAGACTGATAAACGCCCCGCTGACCACTGACTGCTGGGACTCGATAACCTCCAGGATCTGGACACGGCAGCAGATTATGTCGACATAAAGAAAACTACTAATAAATAATATACCTTTTCATTTTAATGATGTTGAGTTTTTTTATATATAAATGTATATAAGATTTAAAATAAAAAGGAGGGCTCTCGTGGCCTAGAGGTTAAGGTGTTCGCCTCTCATTCAAAGGTCCCGGGTTCGAATCCGGGTAGCGACCGACAGATTTTCATCACTAAAATTGTTTCCTTTCACCTCCTTTCCTGCACTCTAACAATGTTCTGTCGTGTACTTTCGTCACCAATTTCTGCCCCCCCCCCCCCACCTTCTTTACCCCCTCCTCTGGGCTCCTGACTCTTTCTGCTTTCTTTCTACTGCTACTCCTTGGCTCCTTATTGCTGTCTTTCAGCCACACCCCTGATTTTCTAGTAGGAAAGATCTACACCTAGCCTTCTTGGACAAGGGTGAAAAATCTCGGAGGTCCCGTGTGCAACTTGCGCACGTTAAAGATCCCTTGGTGGTCTAACATTGATAAGAGTAAGCTTCGGCCGCCACCAGGGCAAAATTGAAAGTGTTCTACCAACTGAAAATGTTAAGTGTGTCACGCACGCTAATAATTATGACCTTATGCAGTTGCGAGCACCGTAAAACACTTACCAAAATAGAATTTAAAGAATAACAAATAAAATAAACGCTTTTGCGCAACTCATCCCGACTCCTACAAAGTGTTGTTGCTTAATAAAACGTATCAAAAACCTTCAAGACTTCCGTTGAACTTCAACCGTTACTATACAACGTCATTACAATCTATGCCAAGCACGTATATGCAAAGAGGTTATATTTGTGTGTAGTACCATGTATAATCTCTTTGTATACATGCAAGTTGTCATACAACCAATTAACATACCAGGCGTCTGAGAAACACAATATTTATACACCACACCACACCACACCTTACTCAAACACTAAACAATATCTCCCTCTCTGTGTCTCTGTCTCTCTGTCGCACTCTCTCTCTCTCTCTCTCTCTCTCTCTCTCTCTCTCTCTCTCTCTCTCTCTCTCTCTCTCACGCGCGCACGCGCGCACACACACACACACACACACACACACACGTGCGAGCAAAAGGAGAGAAGGCCATAGAGAAAAAGAGAGGAGAGAGAGAGAGAAGGAGAGAGAGAATGATAAAGAGAATGAGAGATAGAAAGAGAGAGAGGGGGAGGTGGCTGAGAAAAGAGAGAAACAGAGTGAGAGAAGAGACACAGAGAGAGAGAGAGAGAGAGAGAGAGAGAGAGAGAGAGAGAGAGAGAGAGAGAGAGAGAGAGAGAGAGAGAGAGAGAGAAGGACACACAGACGGCAAATATAACGGTTAAAATGTGTAGTGTTGGAGACAGACCCGGTTAAACATGATCCCCACAGACACGTTGACAAAACCGTCCGGTGTAGTGGGACTGAGGCGATGCCGGACAGTGGACCTGTTGTGCAGGTCTTCATACAGCTCCACTTTGGCGCGCTTTTCTGCAGCTAGGTCTGCGTGAACGCCAGGCAGATAGGTATATAGCAGCGTTCCCGGCAACAACACGAACAGCAACATCTCTGATGGACAGCTACGGAACATCTAACAAAAATATCATAATATTATTTGATGGGGACCGAGAATTATGAGAAAAACAGATTAAATAACAATAAAAAACAACAGTGAAAATATGGTTGTCCTGAAAAAGCTTGATTCGCGTCGGAGGGACCCACGCAAAAAGAAGACCTTTCTAATGATTTCAAATCATCATCATCATCATCATCATCATCATCATCATCATCATCATCATCATCATCATCATCATCATCATCATCATCATCATCATAATAATAATAATAATAATAATAATAATAATAATAATAATAATAATAATAATAATAATAATAATAACAATAATAATAATAATAATAAAAATAATATATGGCTCTTTTCGTCTATGCAGACGGTCAATTTAGCTTAAGATGGTCTCAAGGTTTTCTTCATGCAGCTTCTTTCATGGCTAATTCTTCCTATGTTTGAAGCGCAGATTCTGTCTCAGTGCTTGCATGTCAGTCTCGTAGATAGAATCTCTGTATTTCCGCTGTTTTCCTTTCGTCGTTGGCGCTTCTCAGCCTGTTTGTTTCTAAAGCTGCTCTCTAGCATAGTTCTTTCCTTTATCATTTTCCTCCATGTTTTCCTGTCTTCAGCTATTTCTTCCCAGATGCTAACATCTACTCCAAGCTTAAATAAGCTGGGTTTTTTAAGGTGTCTTTGTGCCTCAATTTTGGTCTTCCTCTTGGTCACTTTCCCTGGGCAAGTTCTCCATAGAGAAGTTGCTTCGGAATTCAGTTGTCGTCCATTCTCTTGACATGGCCCAGCTACCGCAATCTTTTTAAACACAGGATAGTTGTCATGCTCTGGGGGTTTGCGCGAGCCAACATTTCAACATAATTTGTAACCTTGTCACGCCACGAAATGCCTAAGATCTTACGGCAGCATCTGAGATGGAAAATGTCGAGGCGCTTTTCTTGTCTGCTGTACAAGGTCCATGTTTCAGATCCATAAAGGAGTGTGCTGAGGACACATGCTTCGTAAATCTTGACCTTTGTTTTGGTGGTTAATCTTTTGTTTTCCCCTGCTCGTTTTGTCAGCCTTCCAAAAGCTGTTGCTGCTTTCCATATCCTGGTGTTGATCTCATAGTCAAGTGATGTAGTAGAGCTGATGGTAGACTCCAGGTAACAGAACTTGTCCACTGT